TGGACTTCGTGGTGCAGCGTTCCTTCGCCTAAGGCCTTGCAGTTGTAAGGCACGGAGTCCTGCAACATGAACTGCAGTACCATTGAGTATCTGTTCATGGCGCTTGGTAGGGATGCAGTCTCAGGTCCTTGTGCTTGGTAGGGCTGCCATGCCCATAGGCTCTTAAGTAGTTCCTTTTTGTGGTTCATATTTAAAATCCTATATGGTAATCCCAAAAAGGAACTACTAAGGAGCCTACGGGTAGGTATGCCTTGACGGCTTGCGGTCCGAGCCGTTAGATTTACCGGGGAGTCTACAGGTCGAGAGTTTCGGTCATTGAACTTATCGCCCCAAGGGTTTAGGGTTTAGGTTGCCCTAAACCCTAAACCCGTGAAATTCGGATGATAACTGCACGCTGTGAAGTTGCAGATCTTTAGTTTCTCCTTTTTCTAACCTGGTTTGTAGACACTGATCCTAGCCATGCGAGAGGGGAAACCCTAAAGCCTGACGGATGGCTGTGGAGGTCTCAAACCACGAGTGGCTTAGTTAGGGGTTTAGGGTTTAGGTGGCTTCGGGGGTTTAGGGTGAGAGAGAGAGGGCTTAGGGGTTTAGGAAGTTTAGGAATGACAACAGCAATGTCACTCCCGTTTCTCTCGTACCGCTCTACACCCTAACCCCTAATTCCTGAAACCTACCCCCTAATAGCCTGTACAATAAGCACCCCTCCTCTGTATGAGTTCGGGTGATATCCCACTGCGGAAGCAGCAGGTTCCCAAGGCGGTCGGGTTACGGGTTTCAGGGCTTAGAGCTCAGGCTCATAGGGGCTTCATTTATAAGGTCTCTTCAGCCGAATTTAGAGGTTTAAGGGGTTCAGGGCTACTTTGGGGCAGGGCTTTCTACCAGTATGGTCAACGAGTATCGCACCGAGGCGGCTTGTAAGTGCTTCTGCAGTAGCTGCGAGAGTAGCATCAAGCAATGACACTCGTCCCCGATTATGTTCAGTGACACTCTTGACTGGTGAATGTGGCAAGATGCATAACAAGAGGTGTTTCACGACGTAGCCCTAAACCTCTGAACCCTAAACAAAGCCTTTTCCTGTCGAAACCCGGAGCCGTGATCTCCTCTTCGCCAAGGGGTCTTAAGTACCGATTAAGGGCTCCTATACGGGTTCCTTTTAAGGGTTCCTTCAAGGGTTCAGGGGTTAGGGTTCCTTTAATAAGGGCTCCAAATGTACCGATTATGGGGGATACTTGCCTAATCCACAGTGGTATTTCCTATCATGGAAACCTTACATGCGACTATGTAGATACTTAGGACCTTTTGCGTTCGGAGTAGCGCGGAAGCACGGATTGAGGGGTGTAGGGGTCTAGGGTTTGGGGTTTAGGGCTTTAGGGGTTCCGGGGTTTGGGGGTTCAGGTTTAGGGGTTTATTTAGGGTTTTGAAGTTTCAGGTGTGTGTGTGTGTGCGCTCAAAGCTTCCTGTGATGAGGCTGGGCATGTTGCTCGCCATGCGGGGTGCATGCCAGATGTCCATCGGTGACCAGGACTCATCCCAAGAAGGGCTTCTGCTTGAGGCAGAGTCAAGAGAGGACGGAAACGAAGCACCACGGCCACGGCTCCCTTAGTGACTTTGCGATTGCCGATGGTTTGCAAGTTTGCAGCTATTCATCAGCCACTGTTTTTTTGAAGTCCTGTACCCATTTTAAACCCAAATCTTGAAATCAGCTTACCTAAACTAAAGCATTCTCCACACCCTAAATCCAAAACCCTCAAACCCTAGACCCTAAGCCGCGCATTCCCTCTGGGAGCACTAGAAGCCTAGTGGTTCAAGACCCCAGATCCCTTTGGGGTTTCAGGGAAAAGGGGTAAGAAAGGGCTTAGGGTTTAGGGCAACAGGGGTAAAAAGGGATCAGGGTTACCGGGGTTGAGTACTTTTTTTCAGGACTTATGTGAAGAAATCACAATAAGGAACCCAAGGTAGGTTCTTTAGGGTCCAGGTAGACCAAAAACCCTAAACCCCTAACCCCTAAACCCTAAATCCCAAACCCTAAACCCCTAAGCCCTAAAAACCTAAATCCAAACCCAGAGGACTCAGCGTCGCCGGAGCAGCTGCGACTGGCCATCCGAGAGTCCCTGGGGAGCCTCGCGTGCCCGGGGACCTGGGAAGCCGAGGCTCCTTTCCTCGGTAGTTTAGGGTTTTGGGTTTTGGGTTTAGTTTAGGGTTTTTGGGTTTAGTTTGGGGTTTAGGGTTTTGGGTTTAGGGTTTAGTTTAGGGTTTAGGGTTTAGTTTACGATTTAGGGTTTAGTTTGGGGTTTAGGGTTTTGGGTTCAGCAGCTCCGGATCGAGCAGTTTTATAGTAGAGTTAATCCACGGTTTAGACAACACCCACCCACCCCTGAATCCCATAACATTGTAAACAAAATCGTTCTTTTGCACCAAAACTCTGGTCATCCATTAGGGACCTCAGGAACCCCCTAAAGGTTGACAGGAATTTTGGAATAAGGCCAATTGGCCTTATTCCAAAATCAGTGTCAGGGTTTATAAACCCTGCGCAGATCTTTGGAATTAAGGCCGATTGGCCTTAAAGCCAAACTTCTGGTCAACCATTAGGGACCTCAGGAACCTCCTAAAGGTTGACAGGAATTTTGGAATAAGGCCAACTGGCCTTATTCCAAAATCAGGGTCAGGGTTTATAAACCCTGTGCAGATCTTTGGAATTAAGGCCAATTGGCCTTAAAGCCAAAGTTCCTATTAGGGTTTAAATTATATATGATAAAGAGTGTTTAGGGTTTAGGGTAGGGTCCTGAATAGTGGGTATTTAGGATTTAGTAGGGGTAGTTGGGGGGTGCTGGTAAAGTAGGAACGGGGGAGACCCACAGGCGGCACGCGAGGGGTTGAGGGTGTGGCGTTTAGGGTGGGGCTGCGAGCAAGAATTCCAAGGGTTTACTTAGAGGTTCATGGGTAGTTATAAGTCGGGTTATAAGTCCCTAATATTGTTTATAACTACAGTTACCCTACTTATAACCCCACTTATAACTACCCATGAACCTCCAAGTAGAGAAGATCTGGTCGTGCGTGCATGGCCAACCTGATTCAAGGAACCTCTGTGGTTTGCGAATGGTTTCTCGGCTTAATGCCAGACTAGATGTAACGTTGGTGGAAACGAGGACCGTTGAACGGATTTCGTTGACCAGGATAGTTTAACCTACACAAGGAACGACGATGCAGCAGGGCAGTCATGATTTCGTTGAAAATTGCGGCGAAACGTGTGCAGCGGCTGTAGGTGTGCATACGGTACCGCAAAAAAATCCTGCGGCCAGCTGGTAGGCCCGCGCCAAAGCCCTCTTAAAACACCAAATATTTGTTTCGTAAATTAAAGTCTCAGCCGACCGCATGAATCCGTGCCGGCCCGATGTGAATGTGCGTGAAACTGATGACCCTACCCCTTACTCGTGGCTTTCACTGCGTAGGGGCTTGCCAAGTCCCAAGGCCATGGAAGCCATGGGAAATTCTACTTCAAAACGCGGATGAAGCTTGGGCCGGGAGCTTATTAGGGGGAGTTTAGGGCTTAGAGTTTAGGGTTAGAATAATTGCAAAATGGTATTCGGTCCCTAAACCCTAAACACTAAACCCTACAAACATACCCCCAAAAGCAGTGCTCTAATGTTTAACTAGGTCTCGCAGGGCGCCCTTGTCCTCTTTCTCTGGTCTTAGGTTCCTTGCCAGAAAGGGAGCCTTTTCTGCTTGCTAGGTTACTGGTGATCCTAGTATTAGTTCGGTATACTTAATGAGATTCCCCTTATATCCCCCTGTAGAAGACTATACACACGAATATTCCCCAAACTATCCCAAAAAACCCTGCTCTGGTCATAAGGGCTTTAGTGGATGGTGAGCAGACTGTGTATCATAGCATCCCCCTACATCCCAGAAACCCTGCCATAATCATGCAGGGCGCCTATGTCAGGAGGTTTTGGTGTAGATCGACAGTTGACTTCAGGCTTGAGGGTTGCACTGAGGTTTGGCTGATTTGCTAGGGCTTCGGGCGCTCTGATTCAGTGTCAGCATAGTAGGCCTTGGTGTATTATAGGCTTTAGTTATGGAGCTTTGGCGTGCCGAGGAGGTCTACTGATTCATTTCGTGGCTCCTGGTTCGCAGGGCTCGGTTACTGGAAGGCGTAGCGGGTGTAAGCCTTCGACAGGAATCTTGGGGTGGGCATTAGAATAATAAACGCCTTGCGTTAAGTTGAGGTCTTTTCGCTTGGGGGGGCCAATGTCGAGAGAGCTTGAAAGCCTGAACCCTCAACCTTGGCGGCCCGAAGCTGTAAGCTGTCCGTCTCTTAGCCAGGCCTGGAAGCTGTCATGGAGCCTAAGAAGCAAAGATGAAACTTAAAACTAGTTTAAAAGCTAGCCGACCTAGCCAATATCAACCAGTTGTTACTTTGGGCCGAAAGGATTGTCTTCGTGTGTTGCCGAGCCTACGTGCCCAAAAAGACGAAGATGCCAGGAACGGTATGGAACTGGCGACTCCGTCTTGTTCTCAATTGGATGAGGCTGGGCTCTCAGTCCGCTCTGGCTGCTTTTGTGTTGCAGGGTTGTGATGCCTGTTGTCGCCTGGGGTTTACGGGGGACTGCTCGCGAAACCGCAGCATAGGTCAACTTGGCGCGGAGTGTGAACCTGGCACCTGCGTGGACTTCCTGTATCAGATTAGAATGCATTGAAGAGTGTCCCTCCAACCGAGCGCTGGAAGGAGAGAAGCACATGACATAGGCCACAAACAAGCCCCCACCACACCCGAGATGTCTGCAGTTGGCTCGAACCCAGTGTTACTTTGATGAGGGCGGCTTCAGTTTTCCAACATGCTGCCCCAAGTTCACCACAAGTTGCTGGAGCATTTGCGGCAGTCCAGCGATGGGAAACCTCAGGTGCAAGTTCCTGCATCAGAGGCTTTGCCACCGGAGCTGTTGACATGGAGACGCAGCTTGGATTCCTTTCTGCCGGTGCTTGGTGCGCTCTCGCGTTCAATGCTGGTTCGGAACACTTGTGCGATTGGACTTGGGTCTCTTCTTCTTACAGCAGGCGGAGCGGGTGGTCTCTATAATAGGGGTTTCTTGAGTAGGCTAGGTGTGTTCAACAAAAGCATACAGCTTACCCCGGCTTACCCCACGAAAGCGAGCGAGCACGCTCTGCACGAACCACCGGCGACTGAACAGAGAACCACGCCAGACAAGTACAGCCTATGTTGTAGCCCAGCAGATAAGAACGTGCTTAACCGGAAAATGCTACTAAGGCAAAGCCCGAGACACCTTGGCTCCTCATTAATATGGCGGTCGCCAGTACGTGCAGTAATAGAAGTCCTTTTCGTGAGGGTATTATGCAGCGGCAAACCGTAAGCTATGCATCTTGACTTAGAAGACTTAAAACATCCTGATCCGGAGACCCTTAACCCTAAGCCCTAGACCCTAGAGATGCAGCGGTCGCTAAGCAGGTGGCCTCAGAGCAGCTTGTTGGCCCACATTGTTCGGCCTGGTCCTTGTGGCTGCAGGCTGTAGGGGCCTACCCGGAGGCACTCCGTTGCTCAGAATTGATGAGGTTTCGATAGGGCTTCGGGGTTTGGAGTTGAAACTTACATGCTCCCGGTTTTGGGGGGCTCTGAGTTTGGTGCTTTAGGGCTTCGGGCTCTAGAGTTTAAGGTCGGTCTCGGGCTCGGGTTAGGACTTTTTGGTTTTGTTGGGGGCCTAAAAAATCTGCACAGCTAAGGTTTCTAGAGGTTGAAACGGAGGCCGGTTTCTACGCCGACCTGAAAGGCAAAATGGCAGCACGCAACGAGAAAGTCTGCCAGGCAATGCAAAAGTGGATGAACAGTTTTGTTCCATGCCCCTGGCAGCGATCCGGAGAGCTGTGCACCATCGCACCTTACATGTTAAATCGCAAGAGGTTCGGGGAGTTGAAGTACGAACGGATCTGGTTGCGTGCAGACGACGGAGAAAGCTTTGCCAGCGATTTCGTTTTCCCTCCTGGAGGCTTTGACCCTAATCGCCCTGTCGTTGTGCTCCTGACGGGGCTCGCACCGTCGAAGCACTGGACTGAGGCAGCTGGTTTCATCGCCGACGCCGCGGGATATCTATCTCGTTGTGCGAACATGACCGTGGTGATTTTGGTTGCGAGAGGAACGATGGACACCCAAGTCAACGCGAATCTCTTCCACGGGGCTCGTGTCACGGACCTCCGGAAGCTCCTAGAACATCTGGACAACTGCCTCAAGGCCGTTTCGGCTCTGGGCTTCCCGAAAGCAGCAGTATTCGCATCTGGCTACTCTATGGGCGCCATCATCCTTGCCAACTACTGCGGTCACTATGGCCAGGATCCGCTTCTGGAGGGCGCTATCAGCTTCTCGGGTGTGAACGACGCTGTGAAGAACATGAATTTTGAGTACTCCACGGAGACCTGGCAAGCTGCCCTTGCTTACAGTCTCAAGAAAACGATTGTTCAAGGGCACGTCGAGGAGGCGAAGCGGCGAGGGGTCGACATTGGAAAGGTCCTCTCAAGCAAAGTTGCCAGTGTGGTAGATGTGGACAAGGACTTCGTTTCGATATTTAATGGTTACCCAGTAGCTGAATGAGTACGCTTCGCTTTATGCTTTGTGGGAAAATAGGCATAATTCCCTTCAAGCCTGCTTAGGGCCTATATGAACTCGGCAACTAAGGTTACGACGGAGTCTTGGACTACTATCGGGATCTGAGTGTTGCATTTGACGACAAGTGGAGGAAGGTGAGCATCCCTCTGCTCTCGGTGGCTGCTCGCGATGATCCCATTACGCAGCTTAGTAGTACTTAGTAGAGTAGGTAGCCTTTTTAAGCTTTCTGGTGACCTATAACCCCTGTCTACTCCCAAAGGTTAACCCTCGCTTCAAGATCCTAATATAGGATTCTGGACAAGTAAGGCACTGCGACAGCCTCCGGGCCAAGGAATTCTTCGCCGAGAACGAGAACCTCCTCTTCCTCATCACAGAGAAAGGAGGTGGGGGGAGGTTCAGTGCCTTCGGGATTTCTTGGGTTTAGTGTTGAGGGTAAAATCCGGAGGTTTAGGGGTTTATTGTCTAGGGCTTAGGGTTTGGTTTGACATAATTTCTTACACATAGGCTTTGAGCCGTGAACCTGGAACCCGAGGTCACGTGGGTTGGCCTTGGGGCGTGCAGCCTTGGAAGAAAGGCTGGGATTTCATGAACGAGGCCATCCAGGTCTTTGCCGAAGCTGTGCTGTCCAGTCGGCCTCAAGGTTAGATGATATGTAGCCCGGTTTTCCACGCTACATACCACCTGCTTGCAGACAGACATACTTACATACTTACTTACCTACACACACACATGCACCTGTATAGATAGACCGATAGACATAGACACATCAATAAGCTCACGGAAAGAAGGCACGCAAAAGCGTGTGCATGTAGCTTCGCAGGCATACAGTACTGACTAGATGTGTATGCACACCTGCGTGCAAACTCAACATAATAATGACATGATATTGCATTGTCCTCTTACTATGGAACATCCCGTTTCTTTATGTGATCTCTGAGAAGTCTGATGATGTTACATCGGCTTCAATGTCTCAGCCACGGCGGGGCCAAAGCGAAGGCTTTCTTCCCGCCGCTCGTTCTTTCTCCCTTAGTTTACCGGCCCTTCGTTGCGTTTGGCGATTTGGGGCGGGAGAATTGCGTCCTAGCAGGCTAAAGACCATAAGCTGTGACAACAGACGTCGAAAAGGAGCACACTGTTTCGCCAGGGCTTTGGGTTTTTCAGTCGTTTGCCCCACTCGCCCCGCCCTTCCGCGCAGCTAAATTTGCATCTCCTGAGATGATAAATCTCCGGAACAGAATTGGTTGTGCCAAGTGTCATTCTGAATTATCATGGGTCTAGCGTTTCAGACAAGCCTGCTCTTATGCAGAAAGCCCAAGCATCGGAGTATGATGTTTGGGGTCTCCCAGACACAAGCAAAGTTCAGTATACCGAGGAAATTCCCTAGGAGCCCACTTTAGAGTTCTATAGTTCCACAGCTCGCTTTGTCGGGGTTGGGCTGGGTGGGGCTTGGGGCTGCGGCAGCCTGCAGCGGCATGAGATCAGCAGATTAATCCTCCATGCAGCGATACTTGCGCGATACTACTGCGTTTCGGTTAAGTGCAAGGTCGATGCTTTGTGTTGGCGATACCTTGCGGTTCAATACCGATAAAATATCGATATCGTTGAACTATTGTTGAAACGTCCATGTGATAAAAGCTCCCCTTAAAAGGAGCCCTTCGCGGCAAAGCCCTAAATCCTGAGTCTTGGTCCTGACCCCTATAAGCCCCAAATAGACTAGACCCTAAACCCGTTAATCCACAAACTCCCATAACCCTGGTACAGAACCCTTGAGTCCTGCATCCCTAAACCCCATAATTACCCTCAAACTCCAAACCCTAAACCGTAACCAGAAACCCCAAACCCCTAAACCCTTAAACCCGAAACCCCTAAACCCTAAAACCCTAAACCCTAGAACCCTAAAACCCTAAGTCCCTAAACCCTAAAACCTTAAACCCCTAAAACCCTAAACCCCAAACCCCAAGCGCGAAACCCTACCCATAAACCCGACACCCCAAACCATGAACCCTAAGTTTCCGACCATAGAACCCAGGCGCTCGAAGATTGGCGGGAGACCCGTCTTCTCAGGGCGGGGGAGCCCGAGACTTCCCCAGACTTCCATCTTCATATGGGTAGGGTTTAAAGGGCTCACGACTTAGGGCTTAGGGTGAAGGGTCGAGAGGGCTCAGGATTTAGGGTTTAAACTTAGGGTTTATAGGGTTTAGGTATTGCGAATATTCGGCTCATTATGGATATTCGCAGGCTTAGTATTCTGGGGGCTTATTATTATGGGGCTAGAACAGCATCGGAGAGTGGGGCGGGGTTCAAGACCAAAAAGGGGCTTGGGACTTCAGGGTTGTCGGATCTTGTAGGTTGGTTTGCTTCTAGTTTTCTTTGGGTGAACCTACAGAAACGCCGTTCTTGAAGATGATTATTAATCTTAGATTCGTAAGCTGGAAGAAGAAATTGCAATTTTCCATCTCCACTTATGCCGGTAACTAAATGTTTAGAAGCAAATCCGCCCTTTGGTTCTAACCCCTGAACCTCGAGCCTAAAACTTTGAACCCTGGTGTGCACTTAATTCCGGAGCCATCAACTTTCACGCAGGCCACCCAAGATGCGATGCAGAATCATGCTGCACGCACTGCTTTTGCGAAAAGATGCCGGGGCCTCGGCACACCAATCTAGATTATTTCTGCCTAATTGTTGCTTGCAGTAACAGTTTATTATTCTTATTGCTGAAGTTAAAGCTGCTATTGTTGTTAATGTCATTGTAGCCAGGGTGCATGTGATACTGTCGATGAAAAGCACACTGCCAAGAATGCTCGTGGCGAAGATGCCGCGGAGGGTGAAGATTGTTCTGGCGTGCAGATTCGACTTTCCTCCAAAGCATCTCTGAGCCCCAAATCATCTCCCAGCCCGAAACTCCGAACGTTGATATCAAAGACTCAGTCGAAACTAGGACGCACCGAAGCCTGAAACCTCCGTCTAGAGTCTTTAGACTATATTGAACCTGTTGAAGCCGAAAGCTTGAGTTCCTAATCGCCTCTAGCTGCGCTATAAGCCCCGAAAGCCGACCCAGGAGTGTTTATGCAAGGAATCTGCAACGAAGGCTCCAAACTTATCGGATTGCCAGTCAAGTGGGAGTTTGGAGAGTCAGTGGCTGAGTACAAGGGAGACGAAACACCCGGGATCGAATTCCGGCTAGAGTGAGTAGGCCAAGTCATTGAACCGATAAAGGGGGAGTAGTATAGTCGTCGTCGTAGCAGCAGAAGAGGAGTAGTAGTAGTAGTAGTAGCAGCAGCAGCAGCAGCAGTAGTAGTAGTAGCAGCAGCAGCAATAGTAGTAGTAGTAGTAGTACTGCGCCGGTCCCAAAGTTCTTCGCACTCTGTGTTGCTCATTCAAGGATAATAATTCCTCCGCTAGCCAGGCTCGGGTATTCCTCACTCCCTGCACTCCACGTACTCCGATTAGTGTCTCTTGCGGATGCGACGAAACTTCATTACCGGGCATGCTCGTGAAAAGGAGTTTTAGATTGAAATCGTCGCTGTAAGAGACCCTCAGGCACGTGCGTATGTCGACACACATGTACTTGTACACTTGTACATGTCTGCTCTATATCTCTGTGTATCTATGTGGAGCCATGTGCACATTCATGGGTACATATCTCGGCTGTGAGGCTTCCCGTACCGCAGGGGCCAAACACTCATCGAGTTGGGCGGACAGCCATGCCTGGCCTGAGCACTGTGCAGAGGGCGAAGCGGGCCTTGGTGACTTCAGAAAGGCATTCCAGATACCTGCGGACCGCGTCGTGCCATCGTGGGGCGGTTTTGCGATCGTCACATTTCACCAGAAGCGCAATTTCACCGTTTCCGAGAGGTGAGGCAATAACTGGATGTGACTATATGTTTCTTTAAGCAGACCTATAAGCCAGACCTGTCGACAATCCTGAAGCCTAAGCCCTGAAAGCCCTAAGCGCCTGAACACCCTAAGCCCTGATAGTCTAAACCTTGAAAAGCCCTAAACCCGTAAACCCTGAAAGCCCTTAACCCTTATAGGCAAACAAAAAGCCTGGAAGAAAGCCGTGGCAGCCGCCGAGGCATCTCGCTCCAGTCGCAAGCCAAGGACCGCGGCCCAAACATCGGGGTCCTCAAAGGGCTCTACGTACCTACCCGCGTGGACGCTTACCCAAACCATAATAGCAGCTCCCACTATAAACACCCTAAATTCTACGATATCGGTACTGAGGACCTAGGACCATGATAAAGCATCGGAATACTTGGTGAGATTCTCCCCTTATATCCCCCTGTATGAGATTATGCAATACATCAACCCTGTTTGTTCTAGTCATGAAGGCTGTAATGAATGATGGCGGGGGAGTTAAACTTCGGTGTTCTTTGCTATTTGAAGGTCTGTTTCAGGGTGCCTTAGACCCTGGAGCTCCCCTGGACCTCAGAAAGACGGAAGAGGCATTGGATGCGTTTACAGGACGTCGCATCGGGTTTCAGGTTGCCTGAGGGTTCAAGAGTATGTAGGATACGCCCAGAAGCCTTGCGCCAACACCCGAATAACCCGAAAAATGTACCATTGTAGTTGCCCTGACTGCAGTTTAGGGTTCAGGGTTCCCTAAACTATACCCTAAACCCCAAACCACTGGAGCACCTACAGGGTTTGGGCATTTGATGATAGGGTCGGCGCTTTTCAGGTGTGTTGGTGTTTCTGGGAGCAGGGCTGAGATCTTGGATTTCGCGCCGAAGATTTCATCTGTTGGCTCTAGTGTTTGCATTTTGGGTGTTGGAACTGTTGCTGAACAGTCCAGAGAGACGCTCGAAGCATTCGTTTCTCAGAATGGGCGTATGCTACGAAGAAAAGGCACGAGAACAACTTCAGACTAGCCTGAGGCGATGTTGTATGATAGGTTGTAGTCAGCATTGCTTCGCTGTCTAGAACGGTCTGCCGACTCACGTTGTAAGAAGGGACAGGGTGCGAAGCTTCCCGGATGCGAGGCATGACTCTCACCCCTCCACCTCCTAACCCTAAACCTCATGAGTATCGCTCAAGCACTATCTTGATGGCTAAATGAAGATTCGGCTAGGCTTCGACCCGATTCTCGGGGCTGTTGATGTTAGTGATTCGCGGGCAGGTCTGCGGTGGGGATCGTGGAGTGCGCAAGCACCGGGGTCAGCAGCATCACCCTCCACATGGTTCCCGGGAATAGGTGTCTTTGGCGCTCGATCGTGGGGAGTTGTTGTAGAATGCTTGGTTCAGAGGGCGTGGCAAGAACAAGAGGCACATCTACAATCAACATCTGAGCACACACATGAGTGCTTACATGTCCAACAGGACCGGCGACGGCGCAGAGCAAAGACCAAGCAGCCGGCCGTGCTGCTGCCAGGTAGGTTTGTGAAGCCTAGAAAAAGCGCAGGGACGGCTGATCGGGAACCGTTACTGAAGTCAAAGCTCTTAGTCTGAAGCTCCTGTGATCGTTGTTGTTTGGCGAGCTTCTGTCTACATTGGTGCTTGGACGCATGGTTCGTGTTTCAAGGCCCGATTCCGACCCTGGCCGTGGTGTATGCAACGGATGCATTACCCCCGGCGCGCCCCAGTCCCAGGCATTGGAAAAATGCCGTATGCGACCATACGGTATCGCCCAGCCCCACGAATGTCCC